ATAAGCATAACATTTTTTATCATGTTCAAGTAAGTTGCTACAAGTAGACATTGTAGAAAATCTGAATTTTTTTCTATAATGTATGTTCAGAATCATTAACAATTATGTTAACAGGTATGTTAATTAATAATGTTTATTTTGTTAATAAAAAATGTAATGGGTATCGGCATTAGGTTTCCTAAAAAACACTGTTTGCTTTGCTTTTGCAGGTTAGTCACTTATAAACATAATTTCTAGGAAACAGGGTTGTCTATTGTCATCCATTTGTTCTTGCTTGCTAGAAAGACTGAAGAGATTCAATGGAATGTACTACAACCTTACCAACCAGCCTTTTGACAGTGTATTTGTGTGTGTCCATTGTGGGTGTGTGCTTTACGAACACATGTGCTCCACATGTGTCTGATATCTCGCTCGTAGTAAAATAATCTGTCTAGCAAACAAAATATTAGTTGTTTTTCTAGGTCTCATCAAACCAAATTCAGTTTGACAATGAAATAAAAACGGAAAAAAATCGTTCATTGAAAAAAGAAATTCCCAGAAACTCGACTGCATTTTTTTCCATAGCTGTGCATTAGTATTCACAGTAAAACTTTATGGATATATATGAATCTAAACATGGAGCAGCAATGTTTTAACATTCTCGCATGGTGCCGTCAAGCAGGGTGATCCATGGTTTACTGAAACTGCAGATGGCAACCAATTTGATCAAAAACTGTCAGCCTTGGAAAATCCATCTCCATCATTGTTTGTGTCTCTCTTTCAACTCTTTGCCATGCTGTTACTTCAGTTTGCCTCCCTTGACTTCTTTTAGCTTTTTCCATCCTCCCTTCTATCCTGTTCCTGCTTCTTTCAGTATTTAAACCTCACGCTCTTAGCAGGAGAGCCGCATACACACACACAGACACTGTTTGACGGAAAGCCATCAAGCATTCGAAGGTCACGAACCAAAAGTTTGTGTTTTGAGAGCTATTATTAACGGAACAATACAGAGTGCATTCCTAGACAGAAGAAAAACTCAGGAAAAGATTTAAATGTTAGGTAAAACAACAAATAACAAGTCATGTCACCATTACTATTTATTCCCCTACTGCTTTCCAAGTTATGCAGGAGAGAAATAAATCACCCTCAATGCAACTTATTTTACAGATACAGTCGATTAAAAGAGGCTGATTTAATTAAACAGCTCAATCACTGTTATGTGTTACTGATCATACTGATCTTTGGAAGCCTACACAATCACTCAGTCATTCAGTCGCACTGTGATAAAGTGACAGACTTACAACCGTGTAATTCAATTTACACACTACATTGCTAGACACTTGCTGCTGTAGTCGAATATAGATCAGCCCTATATGCTGAGATGTAGGAGTGAAACTCACATGAATCATGAACAATTTGTCTGTGCACTGTGAATATACAATGGTCATCCGGAGACTACGTGAAGCAGATGGAAACTATTAAAACTGTGAAGCACTTTTGTAATCTTTGTAAGTAAAAAAAAAGATCAATAAAAGAATAAAAAGGAATTATTCCTGGATGAAATGAGCTGATAAAAACAGCCTTTGATGTATTTGAGATCCAAAATCTGCGTGACGTATATTTTTTTCAAGTACAAAAAACCTTCCGAGAAACCACTTGATAGGGTGACTGCCAGAACCTACATCAAAAAATCTGAAGTGAAAATGAGTCACAGAAAATCAAAGACATCTTAAATGTGCGGCTCCTCAAAGTGAATTTTTTGTTTGTTTTTAGTAATGCACGGATCTCCTGTGTGCTCACTTGAACTTTGAAACCTGTCCTTACACTGATTAGAACTGGCTGATCTGAGCTGGAATAAATGGAACAACAAACATGTTCATGTTGTTTTGGCACCTGTTACCTGTAATTTCAGTGCTGCTTGCTTTACTGTAATATGTTTCCACTGTAGAAATAAAGAAAGCCTCACAGACAGCTAAATTAATGTTGGTGCGTGATGATTACTTTGGTAACCATGGCATTTGCATTCATGCATATACCTGGCTTTACTTCTCAGTTAATAAATCGCTGCTCTGTTCCAGGTTTTATTTTTTTTTTACTGGATGGAGAGGTGGGTCAGTGCCAGGATAATTTGGCCCTCTTTACATCTGCCATGTCATCCTTAAAAATAATTGTAGCCGGGACAAATTCAGCTCCATGTCAGTTTAAATTTTTCAAGAAGCAACTTTATTTTACAGCTTTTCCTTTTCTTGTCCTTCACACATCTGCTGCCCATCTCTTCTCTCTATCACCCCTTTATTTGGAAAAGAAATAACAACCTGTCTCCTTTTAAAGTACACACATGCAGACACCACATGCATTGTTAACATTTCTCTGTATCTTCTCACTGTTATCATTCCTTAAGCTATCTGACCCAGTGACAAACCCAATCAAAATGTGCAGGCAGAAAGGAAAAATGAAAAGAGAAGCGAGTGACGCCTATAAAAACTAACAGAAACAAGGGACTAGATTGGTTCTTTCCATTACGCATGTAAACCCATTAAATCCCAGATGTTGACCAAGGCTTGACACTCTTTGGATATACAGTATGTCTAACTCATAGTGCCAATAAATGCCAAGCAACAAATAGAAAGAAACCTTGAAAGTTTGATCTTATTTTTTATTATAAATGCAGTCTGGAGAAGGCATAGGGATTACTGTCAATCTTCTGTACCCTAAAGCATCTCAGTAAAGCAGAAGCTGGAGCCAGCTGTCCCCAGCGTGGCTGCCTGGTCACACAGCCTTAATAATATAATACTGCCACTTAATGAAACAAGCCATTCCATGTGTTTCCAATAGGGCATGAATCAACCCTTCAAGGGCTGATGTCTGCCACAAAAGAGCGATGCAGAACAGATAATCCTTTAACTGGTCTCCCAAACAAGCGTTCCCTTACATGAGATTTGTTCAGTTACACTGGCACTTGGCAGAAGTTTTAGCGCCTTAATGAAGTAATTGGAAACAAAAGTCTATGACAGTTACAAAGCTCGCTCTGGTCGTCACTGCAGTTGAAAAACATTAATAATGAAAAGATTAATGAAGCATATTTTGACACTTTGAGAAATACACCTTTTCCCTTTTTGGTCAAGACTTGATTGAGGACAAGATCAAGATTTACCATTAGCTAAAATCCACCTACCAGCACCTTTAAAGCACACCAAATAATATATTATATCACATTTACTTAATCTGTACCAACAAAAACAAACTGTGGTATAATCTGGGTTTTGTGCTGGGCTATTTCTTGGCTACGTACAGTGACTTCCTGAAGAGCAGCAGATTTATTTTGTACCTTTGGACAGAGACAGTCTAGCTGTTTCCCCCAGTTTTCATAATAAGCTAAGCTAACCACCTATAGTTGTAGTGATATAAATCCTCTCATCTAACTCCTACTGAAAAAGCAATTAAGCATATTTCCCAAACTGTCAAACTATTCCTTTGAGAGAAGATGTGACAGTCATAATAATGGCTGGCCCGGTTTTGGTTATGTGAAGAGTCTTACAAAGAGCCGCGCTCACATCAGCCTCTTTCACTCTATAACAAGCCTTAGATGAAGCACAGAAATGTTGAATCTATTAGTCGCCTCATCCAAGTTTTAATGCAGCTTTAGGGAGACAAACTATATAAGCAGATGCAGAGTGTGGAAGTATTGTTCCACTAAACCACAAGCTAGGACTTCACAATACAAACTGCACTTGCCCTAATCTGTTTAAAACTAATTATTGCAAAAATCCATCAGTAAGAAACCTGTTGTGATGTTTTATCAATATGCCGAGGCAGGCTGTGCTGTGTAATTGAAATAGCTTAAAGGTATGAATCAAATGAGTGCTACTGTTCCCTGCAAAAACAATTTTAGTTTCAGTGCTGTTTGTATATCTTCCACATCGTTGCCAGCAATACTTGTTGACCTTCTTCAGTGTAGAAATTATCCATCAGAATATGAACTCCCACTTTGATAGATATATCATCCATTGATGACCTTCAGCCAAGTGCTAAGACCTGCTTCACTCATCATAAAAAACTGTTTGATCATGGGTCTCTCTTTCACAGGAACCCTCACACTGACCTTGAGTTACTATAAGCCCTGTGGTATTACAGCATGTGTTCTCTTCCACTCGACCGAAAGCAAACATCTTCAGTCCGTCATCATTTGGACTCAAATTAGAGGACATGCACAGTTAGCCTCAAATGAGGGGAGGGCTGATAGAAAGATGAAAAGTCATTGACGGAGGACAGAATGTGAAATCCAGACACACATATGGGCAGACACAACAAAACATACAGAAAGAAAAGGATGTGTTTTATTACTTCAGTCGACTCTGATTTCATGTATAGTAAAATCAGTTAATTTTACCTGTGCGTGTGCTGTATACTGTAAATCTGCTCCTTCTTTCATGCTCTCAAATCCAAAAGGACAAGTATAGGAGCCCTGAACATCTCACAGTATTTAAGTAAAAACACACACATGCCTACAAGTGCTGCCAAAGACCCAGACAATTCAAACCACATGAGAACCAACACACACACACACACACACACACACACACAGTAACACAACTGCTTGTGATAAATCAGCTCCACTGACAACAGGATTCCACCAAATATTGAGGAGTGGGCCTTGGGGAAGAGGGGGTGGTCTGCTGTGTGATGCTCTTGCTGTGATTTCAGTTATTCCTCTGTTCTTCAGGGAATGGGAGATCAGGCAGAACGAATGGTGTTGTGGTGCGTTAGAGCTAAGATTAACTCCTGCAACAACAGTGAACATCTGCCTGTATGCGGGATGTCTGGGGTTGAAAAGGGAAGCATAGACTTTAAATCTGATGCAGAGATGGGTTATTTGGGAATGTCTGAAAGGGAGTGTATGGATCCGGCGTTGTCATGGAGACAAACGGCTTCCCGCTCATGTTCACACGCTAAATCATTGTAAAGTGAAGTGGCTTTCGGATTTATAACTACACATATGAGTGTGTGTGCTCATGGCTTACTTCTGCAGGGTGAGGCTGAGGTTTCCAGTGCAGCTCTTGATCTTGTTCTGGGCCTCCAGGTGGTTCATGCCATCTGTGGAGATGCCGTCAATAGACAGAACCATGTCTCCAACAGCAATACCACCTTTAGCGGCCTTCCCACCATCTGTCAGCTGCGGGAACACAAAAAACCACAAACAGTTTAAATTATCTATGTAACCAGCAACATTACAGTCAGGATTATTGAGCAGGAGGGTGGGTCAAGATGATGTGGGAAGTACACATTCACTCTGTATTTATCACAGGATTTATGGATCCATTCCATTACAGAAGCATTTGGACAAAGCAAATGAAAGACCTGGTCCTTCACCACATGATGGAGGGTCTACTGTATGTTCACTGATGCGTGTCTAATAGCAGGAGCCTTCATCTTTGAGTTACTTTTGTTTCTCCTTTATGATATGCTATCATACTGGGCTTACAGCTTGTTAGAGAAAAAAGAAAAGTTCAAAAGGTCTCTTAACCACAGCATGTGAGAAAAAAGATCACAGCCATAATGCAATCCTTGTGTCCAGATTCTCCACTACTGTATGTACCCATTTCTCATAAGGAGAATGTTTTATGATATTAAGACAAAGAAATTGATGTTTCTTTTATTCACATACATGCATTGAAAATGTATCAGAAGGGCAAATGGCTGAATGAATATAACATTTCTAATTAATTTCTGGTTGCATTAACATTGAAGATTATATACATAGACGTTGACACATAGCAATGTTAATGCGGGACCTTATTTAGAGTTTAGAGGCAGATTCCAACACTAAGAGGTTGGTGTTTTGTAATGTCTGCTTCTGTAAGCAAAAACCTAAAATTAAGCTTATCTTGACACACACTTACTACTATTGTTACTATAAAGATCAAGTAAAGTGAATCTAGTCTCAGTAAAAAGCAATTACGCCATTATTTTCCGTGCAAAACGCAGTTAAAAAGGTGACAAATAGCTAATGGGACGCTACGTGGTGTAGACACATACCAGTTTTATTAGCTTTGAGGAAGCAGCAATTACAAGCCAGACATCTCGTAGTTTGCATGCATCATAAAATATGCATACACTCAATTTCTCTTGTCTCTGGTTTTCAGTGTCTTCAATGATGTTTGAGGTATGCTTTAAATATCTGCATCTAAACAAAGTTTAATTGTTCCACTTCCACTCTTGGGGAAGCTGGTTAATTTGAAACAGATTCAAGCTCCACAAAAGAACTCATGTTGAACAGAAGTGCTGGTATTTAATACAAACCCTGAGGTTCAACATGGCTTCAACGTGCACAAATGCTGTACTGTATCAATTCTTGACAGTAATGTTCAATATATAATTACAACGATGCTGGGGGAACAACTGTAACATTTTCCACACCCATAACTGCTGGTGTTGTCCATCAATTTGTGAGCAATGCTGAACATATTTTGTAAACAAGTGTTGAAGAACAGTTGCAAGGCAACTAAACACTTAACAGGCACACAAGTAGGCAATAGTCCACACCAAAATAAAACCCAATTAGATTAAATGTGTAATTATGTGATATATTTTTGTGTTGAAAATAGCCCTGTTTCTTTCTTGTTAACGTTAAAGTCTGTGTTATCTACTTTTAATACATTTATACAGGTGAGACTGATTATTTTAAAGGTCCAGTGTGTAACATTGAAGATGATCTATTGGCAGAAATGGAATATAATATTCATACTTGTGTATAATCACCTTAAAAAAAATATTTTGGTGTTTCTGTTACCTTATAATGATCAACAGAAGGAGTGGATGTTGAACCACCATTTTCAGTAGCCCAGACCAGACAAACCAAACACTGGCTCTAGATAGGGTCTAGTCCTTTCAATAATTTAACTCAACTATAATGTTCTTGGTGATAGGAAAACAAATAGAAGAAACTATTTTATTATGTTTAAAGCTGTGTGGTTTATTTGTTTTTTTGTTGCTGTAATTGGGCAAAAAATCCATAATAACCTTTTAGGATATTGTAATTCAATTGGTCAGAGAGAAAACTAAATATCCGCACCTCCTTTTTGCTCTGTTTAAGGCTTTAGATAATCTATCCCTTGACGGGGGAGTTTAGCCAATTACAGGTCAATAAGATAGTTGATTATTGAGTCTCATTCCCAGGTCATCAAATACCAACGCTTTGGGCTAACCCAATCAGCTATCTTCCTCCAGTATCACTTAATGCAACTTTAACTTTGCATAAATATCATATAAGGAGACTTTTTTTGTTTCTGACTGACATGAAATACTGTATTAGGATCTTTAACTCACCCACACCAACAGACAGGGCAATAAATTGTAGCAGCATGTGTCATACAAACAGGAGCCCTTCTTATCAGTAGGCTGAGGCAGGATAGTGACAAATTTGGAAATGTGCATAGGATGTTACACGCTGTATCTTTTTTTCCCATGCCGCCCAAGCACTGTATCTAGGACCAATTTATTACAACCATATCATTACAACAATTTTCTTTCATGACAATTATTGATATTGCTTTTTTTTTTGCAATATAATACCAAAGTGTAGGAAATCAAAAAAACTTTTTATAAACTAAAATATAATATATAATAATTATAAACTAATAATTTTGCTTTGTGGTTGTTGTATTCTTAATAAAATGGGACTTATCACTTAGTATCTACAAAACAAAAAGCGTGCAGCTGTATTTCTGACCATTCTTGGTCACACAGAAGGTCCATGTGTGTCCAGAGGGGAGTGAGGTCATTTGTTTCTTTAGACACCATGAAAAAGGACCACACACACCACTTCACTGAGCACACTCATGCACACAAACCACTTTTGTGGCTAGCTACGAAGTGGTTCCCACCCACCATCTATCACTTTAACTGTAGCTATTGAATTTGGTGCTTCTACAAGAAAATGTGTTTCTGCTGAATCAGAAATGACAGTCAAGGATAAGAGAGTGTAATGTGGGTTTAGCAGTCTGTGGTGTGTTACATCCCCCTCTGTGTCTGTTTCATTTGCCTCTATCTTTGTCTCACACACACACACACACACACACAGAAAGACAGACAGACACAGGCATGGCTAATAAAAGAGGCTCTGCACCCGGATTAGTGTTAAGGCTCTGTGGCCCCAACCTTTTATAGTCATATTAGCCCAACACACGCAACATCACTCACAACCACAGAGGGCAGGAGGAAGACAGTAATGAGGGATCGACTTGACACTGATTAAAAATTACGTGGATGGAAGGAACGAGAAAAACTGCTACTGGGTACTTTATTCCATGTACATTTTGACCCATTTCAAGGGGTGTGTTCATGCTAACCAATCTGGTTATGGACCAAATGCTCACCGCAAAATGTTCACTTATATTTTTTCCCCCAATTAGTGCTCTCTTCCTACCCCCTACACCCACAACAGCTGCCTCTCTCTCCACATACATACAAAAACACTCACAAAAAAGCCTATACAACCGGATACAACAGACAGGGAATTTCTTTTTTTAATTTTTTGTTCTAAGTATTTAATCTGTCTAAAGAAATTGTTTGTACTGGTAGGAAATCTGTTTCAAAAGCAAACATTTGTTTTCAATCACTATGATTAAAAAAATGTCAGCGCTCAAAGTAGTTTCAATTTTCATATCAAAGAGAGTGCAACAAATCATTTTGAAAATCAGAAACAGAAATCTAAATGATCTGTCGATGCAACAAGCCAAGCACTTCAAGTTTCCCAGGGTATTTGATTTATAGCTCTGTAGCTTTGGCCATGACAGAAAACAGCAGCTTTAACACTACTCACATTTCCACTCGAGACGGTAATACACAGAAGACACACATATACTTTATATGTCTGAACGTTCATGCTGTTTTATCAAGCTCACTCCCTGACAGCGTCTGAGCACAGTTCCAAATGTGCAGGGACTTATATTAATAATCCTCTCAGAATCTACCCTTTGATGAACCACCAAATCCCAACAGTGAGACAACTAAAACAGATGAGAAAAGTTCAGGAATCTTAAATTGTGAAACCTCCCTTCACCTCAGTCCCACAAGACTTGTTGATCTCTGCCTGCTGTTAAACTCCAAATTAAGTTTTTCTACATCCAAAATGGATAAATGCCTACTTGTTATGTAAAAGTGTTGTCATGGCCACTGAAGGAAGTCACTTTTCCCCAAATTAACTCAAACAACTCAGCTGTTTGTATCTGTTTTATGGTGTGACAACCTGTGTCCACAGGGGCCGCCATCAAAACAAAATCAAAGTTCCTTCTAGGGATCCCTACTAAATGTCACAATTTTTAAAAGCTGGCATCTCTTTTTACAACATTGCATGGTATTCTGTATTTTACAACTTTTTTGCCTTATTATATATTCATGGGAAAGTTAAAGGGTCAATACTCGTTTCAACACTTATTCAAAAAATACAAAAAACACATGCAGTGTGTTAAAGACTTTACAGATGAACATGCCATTATGCTTCCAGCAACTTCAGTTTTCAACACATATGCTGTCTGCTTTAAGTGCTTTAAAAAAAATATATGGGTCCAACACGCAGCAATAAAGGCACGCTGGAGTGCCGAAACATTGTCTGGTTTGAACATACACTGACCAGTTTGAGTGCTTTGAACAATGCCTGCTTTCAGCTCAAGGAGTGACAGAGATGACAGGCAGATGGTTAACATCACGCTATGATTGAAACACTGAGAGCAGGAGACATAAATACCTAGATTGTTGCTTTAACTAAAACATCCAGAGAAGCTGCTTCTATATGCCAACTTTCAGAAATATTTATGTCACTTACAGATCTTGCTGCTTAACGTGGGTTATCTTTTAGTGTGACCCTATATGACAGGAAATGTTTCTGTATTGTATATTTGAATCTGATGTGGGAATAGAACATTATAAGTAGGAAAAATGGAACTCTTGTGTAATATTCTTCTATCAATATCTTTTTTTAATTAAAAACATTCCTGTTTATTGGCCAGTTCTTAGTTTATAACCAGGATATTAAAATTTAATTAAAATTAAACATGTGCAGGAAAACAGCATGACAGCTAGGGTGCTCTGATCTCTTAGCAACAAAATAAACAGAAAAATAACAACAAAAAAGTTAGATGAAGAACCACAGACAGAGTTTGAAGGGTGTAAGAA